AAAATAATATTATAGGCATTAATTGTTACCGTTTATGACAAGCTAAATCGTGGGATGACTTGTTAGCACGAGCTGAAAAGAATTGGCGATAGATTCTTACCTGTAACCAACTGCAGGGATAAAATATCATATTGCGGGAATACGTATATTGATGTTGCACTGGAATGCACCGCAGGATCTGAAAACAATACGTGAGAAATTAGCCGTCCGTAATTGTAGCGAAGGAAAGTGTCAGGATTCGAAGGCGTCTCAGTGTAGCTAAAGATAGGTTATTGTCACCTGGTTATTGACTGCAGTGGCACAGTGACGCATTGCGGGGATGCATAGATAGTTTGCGGTAGCGGTCCGCATTGTGTGACCTAAAAAAGGAAATAGTGTTAGATGTATTAATTACTAGCTGCTGTGACAGATAGAACTGAGGGATGCCTCGTTGACGTGATTTATAATGCTTGAATAGTGCAGGTAATGTAATATTCTTACCTCAACCAGCAACAGGGACATAATATTTCACTGTAGAAGCGTGCGTGCTACCGCTTCGCTCCGCTGCGCTGGTGCGCACTGCATAATCTGAAAGAACACCAGAGGTACTACTTATATAGGAACGGTACGATTGAAAATGTTTCAAGAAAGTAGATATTAAAGCATCATTACCTGGTAACCAATTCCGGGGGGCAGCGTTACACTGCGGAGCTGTATGCGCTGTCGCTGCATTGATTCGCACTGCATGCATGATCTGAAATAGTATTAGAGACATTAGTTGCATTCAAGCGATAGCAAACAAATACTTACGAGAATAACCACGATGCAGATGGGTCTGTGAGAATCACAGAACAATAGCCGACAGTGATTGTATAGATATATATGAATATATAATCAATGGTAGGGAAGTGTAATCATTACTAATAAGGTTTGGGGATGAAAGTAGAAAAAATAATTAGAAGTTAGAGTGATAGCCGCGTTAATTAGGCCCCGTGGAGAACGGATGCACGCCGAGATTATTCTAGCCGCGAGCGCGATCACCTTTGACAGGTGAGGTTAGGGCGCCCTTGGCGCCGGGACCGCGCGAAAGGAACTTGATTGCTGATATACTACGATAGAAAGATATAGACTTCGGTGAACAGCGTGCACATTAAAGCCCGTAAAAGAGGCTTGTGCGTGAGTTCTTAGATACCATGTCTCTTCTCTCCTCTCCGCCCCTGTGGTTGTCCTAGTGCATAAGCGTCGCCGAGAGATAGCCGGAAATCCACGGAGGGCGAGTACAAGTAAGTTCCTGACTCGCCTGGCCGCGGCAACGCGGGAGTAGCCGACGCCGAAACAGGTACGGGCACTGCACTGCGCTGCATAATTTAACACGATACGGTGGCTTCTTCTTCTTCTTCTCAATAGGGGCTTCCGCTTCCACCAGAAGCGATACAGCCTGGATGTAAGCTGCCTCACCAGAAGGTGGGGGCAGGTCAGTTGTGCCAACCGAGGCAAAGCAAGCGTAAAGAAAACGAATTATAGGGAGATTTCTAGTGATTTGAAATAGGCACAGAGAAGGTGACAGAGCTTAGGACAAGGGTCTTTAAGCATGGGGAATAGATCAATAGCATATAATGGGAAATTCTTTTTAATAAAGGAGCGGAGCTTTCCTGATTTATGGATGCAAAGCGGGCAGTAGAAGACGATATGGTTTATGTCCTGCCGAGGATCGCCACAAGGGCAAGCAGGAGAGTCGACAATATTTTTTCGATGAAGACTGTAAAGCAGGTTATAGTGGTTACTCCTAATCCTAGAGATGCATACAATTTCTTCCCTCTTCAGACCTTTATTGTAGAACCAGGGTTTTTCAGAATAGTTTAAGTATAGACTAGAATATTGAGCGCCTTTAACGAAAGCTGTAGTCTCCAGATAATTCTTGAAGGATGTTGACCGGTGTTCCCTGGCCTCGACCTGGAGGTCTGAGTAAGGGATTTCAAAGAGAGGCCTTCTACCGTTTGAAGCGGCGAATTTAGCTAGTCTGTCAGCTTTCTCGTTTCCAACGATGCCCTTGTGGGCGGGTAACCAGCAGAGAGTAATGTTGGCGTTACGCGAGTCCGCAAGGCAGAGCTTGTTCTTGATTTGATGTATAATGTAGTTGCCACGCTTGTCGTTCACAGAAGCAAGTGACTCAAGAACACTCTTGGAATCTGAAAAGATTATAGCGTTGTCAATGTCCAGGTCCAAAGTTACATTGATGGCTTGCAGAATGGCCCACGCCTCTGCAGAGAAAATAGAGGAAGCAGAAGGAAGCTTATCACAGATAGTGAGCCCTAGGCTGGGCGAAAATACACTCACTCCTACCATGGATGATTTATCAGATCTGGAGCCGTCCGTGTAGAATGCCGTTGTTTCTAAGGGAACTTCCGCGTAATACTCTTGAAACTTGGCTAAAACTTCCATTGGTGATGAGTCCTTTTGACCAATTGGCATACTGAAATCAAAATCCTTCCGGTAAATGGATGTATGGTAGTCGTAGTAGAAGGCAGGTAAAAAAGATGATCGATGCATGGAATCTAGAGCATGTTTGGTGGCGATGAATCTTGAAAAGATGGGTATCGTTCTTTTTGCCTTTTCCTGAGTAGCCGCCGAAGTGGTGAGAGACTCCAACCGACGCAGACTGCGAGTCACAAGGTTAAACTTGGACGAGTATGCTTTGTAAAGAAACTTGTCGGAAAGGTAGATAAATCTTGTTTCCAAAGGTACCTCTTTGGCCTCCGCGAGCATGATATTGATCGGGGTTGACATCCTATATCCCAATGCAAGTCTGATGGCACGGTATTGTAATCTCTCCAGTTTGAGAAAAACTCTTCTGTTTCCAATAATCCGGAATATGAGACTTCCATATTCGATGGCACCTCTAAAGATAGCTCTATACAGGCATAACATGGATTCTGGTTGAGCACCCCATTTGGTACTGACAACCGCAGCCATGGCGTCAGTCACAGCTTTGCCCTTTTGGATAAGATATTTAAAGTGAGACTCGCCTTTAAGGGAAGGATCTAATAGTATGCCCAAGAAGCGGAAAGAAAAAACCCTAGGAATCGGTTGATTATTAATTGAGAGGTTCAAAGGCAAGGAGGGAGGGTCGGTTCTTGATCTGGAAAAAAGCAT